CTCAGGTCTCTCTTTTTAATCATTTAAAGTTGCTCTCTTTTTCAGATGAGAACATAATGATGCCTTGATACATGAGAATCAGAAAGATCTATTTCCTGTTATTTTTCTCACCTCAGAAGGGTATTTGGAAAAATGTCATATAATTAAAGTTTCTTGAGTTGGTAATTTCACTAGAAAATTTTTGTAATACATTTCTTTTTTCCTAGTGTTGTGATGAGAAACAGCCTGTGAATGACCCTAATAGTCCCATTTCTTAACCCGAGCCATTTCATGAATGTTTTAACAGTATTATAATTAATTTCAAAAATCTCAAAAGACCAAGATAAATGAAGATCAGGCCACAATAAATGGGTATATAGAATGTTTACTTTTTTGAAGTATACAGAATTTCATAAAAAAACTCCCTTTATTGATAACATACCTGATTCATAACAATTTTGATGGTCACTGTAATCAGTTTATTGCTTTGTAGCTTTTCGAATAGATTGTGCTTCTCTTCCGTGCTGTGGTCACTTATCTCTGTGTCATTTCATGAGAATAGGTGTGTATTAAAGGTCACCACTTGTTTGTAATACTCAACAAGAAACCTAGACCCAGTGTCTTGAAAGCCCTCCCAGAGGCTGAATGAATGAATAATTCACCTGCCGAGGACTTTGATGGAGAACAGAACTCCTTCCTTCCCTTCCTTTACAATAAGGGAGCCTGATTTTAAAAATAGGCTTTAAGATTACTTTCAAAAATGGATATAGTGCAAGAAAATGTTTAATAATAAATGTAGGTGAAGTGGACACAACACAGAGAAAATAAGGGTATATACAAAATACATGTCCTAAAGTTCTCTACCTGGGCTGGAGAGATGAGGGATGGCAGATTTGACCCAAAGCTGCCTCCAACCAAAGGAAGAAGGGAAATTGCCAGGACCTATGCCGTGAGATCTCTGCTTAGTAATTAGCCACGAAGAGCTAACAGGTGGATTCGGTTAGCAAAATGTTTTCATGTATACTACTTTTATGACTGTAATCTGTTGATAGTACCCAAGGATTATAGTCCATGGGAGAAAAAACCTAGAACATTCCTTTCTGAAACCTGAAGCCCAGTTATTGAGGTAGATATGCTGCTGCCTAAGTCATTTTAGTTAAAATAAGCATTGAAGCCTGATGAAACTGGAACAGCTCTAGTGTTCTTGTTCCTGGGAGGGAAGGCAGCGTTCACTATTCGTAGGTTCATTTAACAATTATTGATTGAGGACCTTTTGTGTGTCTTGTTATCCATGCTCTTAGGTACTGGGGTTGTGGGATTGTGCAAGGGGCCTCTACTCTGTCTTGGAGTAGAGGAGTAGAGGGCCTCGTTGGGCCCCTGATCTAGAAAGAAGCAGGGGCTATTTATTACCCAGGCTGGCTGTGGAACTTTAGTGTGCCCAGTGGAATCTGTTGTGCGTGACCAGGAGGCAGCTGCACCGACTAGAAGGAATTGGAGGCACCGTGGGGTGGTAGGCCCTGCTGCAAGGTGTGCCTGCCTTCTTCACTTACCCAAGTCTTTCCCTGGTGGTTTTGTTCCCAGACGGCCATCCTAAGACGCCAGGGCCGATACATATGCTCAACGGTTCCTGTAAAGGCAGAAGAGGAAGCAGAGAGCTTATTTGTTACAGAGGTAAGGCTCTTTTCCTGCATTAATTTACATTTTAAAGTCATTTTCCTCTAATTCTCTCTTTTCTTCAAATTTCAAAAATTTCAAGAAAGGTCAAAGTGGTAACTATGTTTTTATGATGGAAGTTAAAATAGGAGAATAACATGAAGTTTTCAGAGTCTGATACTCGGACAGAAATGTCCACAGGGGTCATTTGTGACTATAGAAAATGAATTCCACAAAATTTGACTCATTGGCTTAAAATGAAGGATAACTTGTAAATGAATTCACTGGAAATCTCTGTTGGAGGCTTTGTTACTGATACTGTTTTTAAGGGTGACTCAGCACACACATTTATGTATTCATTTACTTCATTTCTATGTTTATATTTGCGAGTTATTTTTAAGGCTAGTTTAATATTTATGAAGTAGCAGGTGATTATAAGCAGAGCCTGACTATTCCTGTTAAAAATATATATTACATATATATAGAGATTATTGTATAGATCCCTAACCAATATACGAGGGCTGTCGGGAAAGTATCCAGCCATTGTAAATATAACAAGAGTGATTATGTGGCTGGCTACTTTCTGGACAGTCCTTGTACATTGATTATCATTACTTTTGTTTGAACATACAAATAACATCTTGTTATGGAGGAGAGAAAAATTATTGCAATTTAGGTTGCTTGTTTTTTGTTGTTGTTGTTGGGGTGTTTATTTCTTCCTCCAGGTATTTTTAGGTAGGATGAGCTAATTAGGTGTTTTCATTTTGTTTCTTGAAGTGCTCCTTCATTTACAAATAATGAATTTTTATCCTCATTTTTCTAGTTGATATTTAGGTAATAAATATGTCCATCAGTAAAATTGCCCACGACAAGGAAGCTATGCTTTTATAAGTGAAGACCAACTAAATAACAATATGTAGTTTCTGTTGAAATTTTTGAAAAATTAGATATGTATTTAAAATTTTTTAAAGTGTGTTCTCTCATCCTTCTGAAAAGGTAACTTCTTGTCTTACCTACTCTGTAAAATACCAGTAAATATTAGTAAAATTAATTCCAAACAAATACAGTCAGATATGTTTATATAAGCGGTGGTCATAAGTGTTTTAAAGCAAGAGGTGGCAAACTATGTATGACCTGTAGGCAAAATCTGGCCTACAGCCTATTTTTGTAAATAAAATTTTATCATAATGTAGCCATCCTATTTGTTTACATAGCCTATGGCTACTGCCCCAAATGACTGACCCTCAAAGCTAAAAATGTTTGCCATGTGGCCTTTTGCACAAAGTTTGTTGATCATTGTTTCAAAGCATGTGGCAAAATTATTAATTACGAACTTAGTTCTCCCAATTGATTAAAAAAATATGGCTTTTGAGGGATAACTCCCCATTAAGTTCTTCAGTCACTACAGGTTGTGCAATAACTGCTTCATCCTGTGCTGCTGGAGCCAACATAACTAAGCGCTTTGGGACCCTTCCACTTGGGTGGAGTGAACATCACTTCCTCTCCATCCTCGGATCCAGGACAATGACCTAATGGGTTTAAAAAAACAACTTCAAAAACCTTTCAGTGTAACTTCAACATATTACTGAATTTCACAAGCTTGAAAGGTTAATCATGTGATCAGTCATATCCCTGTCTTTTTGGAGGTGCACTTCTTTGCATACAGATTTCTAATGGAATCCATTATTCCCCAGACTTACATACCCCAGAGGGGGTGGGGCTTGCTTGCCTTATTCTATGCTTCTGCCTTGGAATTTAGCCAGCGCTTGCTATGTAGACAGTAAACAGTAGCTTGCTAAATGAATCTCTAGTTACTTAACTTGGTTAATTATGGTTTTTTGTGATTTCTTAAAATTTTAAATATTTAAGTATTATAATTATCTTTCTTACCTGTTTCACCTAAGATATTAAAATCTGGGCATTCATGTTCTGTTCATAAATGCATTCATGATATGTACAAGTTTATGCCTATTTATTTAGTTTTTAATTGGGCAGGTATATTTTATACTTCAGAATGGCCTTAATGTCCTACAAGAGACTTAGTACAACTTTAGTTGCAGTGTGTGATGGAAAACCACCGTGGCTATATAAAGTGAATATGAGAGTGTCCACTAGACTGTGTCATATGCAGTCGGGCCTGACTGAGGTGTGCTGGTGAACCTATGGGCAGGAGTGGGAAAATCCAAAATTGTGGATAATTCTGAAATCATATTGTTTTTGGAATGCAGTTTTAAGTGTGACTATCTAATGTTCTAAATGTGAAAATGCTTTGAGAAATTTAAAACATTTTCAAGAATAAAATTGCATTTAAAAATATTTGTAACTGCGTAGTAAAAAAACCGAACAGTTGGTCAGCTCCCACATTTGACTCTGCTCTTAATTCCATCTCTGAGAATGATAATGTGAAAATCATACACTACCTTCCCTTTGCACCCTTGTGAGTGAAGAATTCTTATCATAGAGCCTGGCACAAAATAAGCACTTGCTGTTGTTGCTGTTAGTATTTTCATGAGTTTGGGGATGGAGGGGAGCTTCCTCCAGAAGGCCTTCAGGCATAGGCTATGACATAGATAAAAGGATGATAGTATAAACTATGAAGTGAAAGAAGCAGAATAGAGACTTGGTTCATGATGTTAGTTACAGCCAGAGTCAAACTAAGTAAGGCATAAATACATTTATCTGCCTATGTTTTCATTTATGCATTCATTTTTTTTTCCACACTGAAGTCTGCACGTGTGCAGTCAAGAGCTGACTCATTTGAACTAAGCTGATATTAACTAAAACTCTTCACCTGTTGGTTCTGACTCATTCATATTTGAAGATCTGGCAGATGGGGCATTACAATTACAATTAAGGATCTACACACTACTGGCTGGATCCTTATGGGTCTATAAGCATAAACTTCTATGTGATGAATGCATTTATGAATGGAACATCTGAGTGCCCAGATTTTAATATCTTAGGCAAAATGGGGAAGAAAGATAATTATAATGTTTAAATATTTAAAATTATAAGGAACTACAATGGGTAGATGGGTAGATCTCTAATGGATAGATGAATGAGAGACACCATGCTGGCCCATTGAATCTGTCAGGTAGTGAGGTAGTTTAAATGCGGTCTGTGCAGGTTAATGTCACTGGGAGAATCCTTGACAGAGTAGTGCTGCATATATTATATATTCTGACACACAGATGAAAATGTCATGGTGCCACTATGAATTGGAATCTAAATCTTTCCTACTAATGACCTTACTTTGTTCCTTATGAGCAGAAAGAAAAACTGAGGGCAAATTTATGATAATATTAACTAACAGCTAGTTCTAATATCAGTAAAAATGTCTTTAGGTTCACACTTCCTAATCACTTTCATGTCCTAGTAGAGGCCACATAGCTTCTTAAGAACCAAGTGCTTAGTCTGAAGCATAGTACATTGTTCTGTAAATGCCACAAGGTTAGGTGAAGTTCCTAAGATATGTGATGATAATAACTTAAAGTGATACTGCTCCCAAGGGTAATGTTTTAGTAGTTCAAAGTCTTCAGCTTCACAGGAGTCACTCTGGTGGTGGGAAAGAATTTTTTTGATGTTGGTGTGGGTGTGCCTTCACAAACCTTCCCAAATGTTTTCCAAAAGTCATCACATATCTTTCTTTTTTCTTTTTATCTTTTTAATCCCTCTTCTCTTCCCAATAGTGCATCAAAACCTACAACTCTGACTGGCATCTTGTGAACTATAAATATGAAGATTACTCAGGAGAGTTTCGACAGCTTCCAAAGTGAGTAAATTATCAGACCACACAAGATGGGGTTATACACATAGGGAAAAATCTTTGTACTTGAAATGCTCAGGGAGGAACATAACTTCATATGCAATCACAGTAATTGGAGAAAATATTTCCAGATGGTTTGTATGTACATGGTGTAGCTACTGTTTACAGGGCCTTTGATTATAAGACTCAAACGTAGTACTCTGGTATTGGTAGGTGGTAATAAACACGTGGGTAGTTTAATTATGTCCAGCGATTCTTTTCAGGTTACCACCGACAAAATATAAATAGGTGAAATTTTTTCATTGAGAAATACAAAACAAAGAAAATGTAAGTGTATTGAAGTATGCTGCAGTGTATTTTTTTTGTTAAAAAGACTATTTTGATGAAGAGACTTATAAAGGACATATTACATTTTATGTTAAAAAATAGTAAATCAAGAAACAAGTATTTTCCCAGATAAATTTCTTTACCTCCTTTAAAGTATTAACTCGTTCTAGGTTATACCAAAAGCAAATGTGTTTATACTGATTAGTGGTAGTTAAAGTGAATCAGGGGTTGGAGAGACTGTTATAAAACAGTACGTCCTGAAATGGTACAGGTAATGTCTTGGTCCGTTTTGTGTTGCTTTCGCAGAATACCTGAGACTGGGTAATTTATAAAGAAAAGAGGTTTAGTTAGCTCATAATTCTGCAGGCTGAATGAGAAGCATGGAGAATCTGCTCAGCTTCTAGTGAGGGCTTTTGTGCTGCATCAAAACATGGTGGAGAAGATCAGAGGAGAAGTGGGCGGGTACAAAGGGGAACCAAACAGGAGGAGGAACCTTGCTTTCTGACAACCCATTCTCAAGATAACTAGTCCTGTCACCAGAACAACTCACTCACTACTGTGAAAGGAGCACTGATCCTTTCAGAAGGGCTCCTCCCCCTAGGCCTAGCACCACCACATTGGGGATCAAATTTCAATGAGTTTTGATGGGAATAAATAAATCATATCCAAACCATTGCAGCTGACAAATTGGAGTCTAGTTGATTATGAAAATTGAAAGCAATGTATTGTTTGAAAAGTAACCACCACGAATGAAAATATTGCTTGATACCAGATTAATCCATTTTTCTTTGTGTTGCGCCTGTGAGTTTGAGGTATTCTCAGGGGACCTAGCTATTTGTTTTTCCTCTTTGTGTGGCTCTGCCACTCCTTAGGAGTGTTCGGCCAACTCCCCTCTTTTTAAACCTCAGCTGAGAACACTCCCTCCTAGCATTATCTTCTCCAGATGGGCATGCTCTTTAGTTCTATATTTACCCAGTCTTCACTTGGGGATCTTAAAATTCTTCCCATTTGATTGGCTAAACCCATCTTTCTTGTCTTGCTCACATTCTCATGGTTGGAAGCTAACAGACTGAGATACTGTGTACTTTCTAGATGATAGACTGCTGGTAGATTTCACTTTGTGGCATTCATAAGAATTTCCAAATGCGTGATTAGGAAAAGCGAGAAGATTGTAACCATGGTGAAGAACATAGATTCTGTGTTCTGCCTGAGTCAACTCTGCCTTCTGTAAGCCTCAGTTTCCTTATCCATTAAATGGTCTTAATAAGTCTCCACCATCTAAAGGATTGAATGAGAGAACACATGTAAAGTACACGGCACAGGGCCTGGCACATAATAAGCATTTAATAAAGGCTGGCTGCTGTTGTTACTGGTGTCTTGCTTTTGTTATGGTTAATACCATAATTGTTAATCACTTTAAATGCAGTGACTCCAAATTCTACTTTTGCTCATAAACTTTGCATTAAAAATTATTCTACCAAGTCTTTATTTATTAATAACTAATCTAGTTCCTTATTTTTAATATGTCTACTAACTCTCAACAAGCTACGATGTCTCTTTCACATAGCTTTTTGGGGCTTTCTGACTCAGGTTTCTTGGCTCACCCACTTTGGGTAGTAAGGGCATTGATTGTTTTATTCTTTATCTGAGTGGGCCAGCTTTGGATTTGTTAAAGGCTGATTCCTCTGATGGAGGAAGAAATGCAAAGCCTGTGCACTGACGAGGCAATTATAAAACAAGTTTTCTTTCTTGTTTTTAAAGCAAAGTGGCCAAGTTGGATAAACTTCCAGTTCATGTCTATGAAGTTGACGAGGAGGCTGACAAAGATGAGGTGGGACGCCTGCTTGCCATTGCTTCTCTTCTCACTTTAGACCTAAACATTGATTGTTACAGACTTAGAAGATTCATTAGAAAATTACCAATATTTAGCCAAAACAAGAATTGGGAGTGTTACATGAAACGGGAAGAATTTAAAGAAACGTATTATTTTATTGATTGAAATAAGATCTCTGTTTCAACTTGACTGCTTAGCATTTCATGTTCTGGTTGTGTTTATTTGTTCTGGGATCATTTTCAAAGACTTGGATCAGATTTGGCTACATTGTTAAAAAATATCAAGATTACTTAGACCTTAAATTTAGGTTGTTTTTCAGCGGGATATCTTGAAATGAACTGCCAGCCAGTAGATTTTTAAATGACTGTTTCTTCAGTGATTGCTTTTGGTGAAATCTGGTTTTATCAAGCCCACTCTCTCGGCTCCTAGAGAAAAGATTATGGCTAGAGGAGTGTATAAGGAGAGTAGGGCATCAAGGCGAGTTTGTCCACTGAACAAGGGAGACATAAAAAGGTAGTGCTTCCCATCTCTGCATTTCTCATTCTCCCCACTAGATATTGGATGCCTCATTGTGAGTTTAGGTTTTTCCATTTTTTTTCCCCTAAATTGTCAACTGAGCCATAATGCCAGTAACTGATGGACTTTAATAACGTCCATGTAGTAAATTGTTTTAGAAACCATTTTTGAAATAATTCTGAGAAAAGTAAGTGGTCATTTAAAATAAACAAGGTCTTGAGAACTTGGTGCCAATTGGGACTAATAGTGACAGGAGGACCAATTGAAATAATTGTATGGAAAGGCATACAATACATTGTAAAGTCCTAGACAGGGAATTTATTACTATTAATAACAATAAAACTACTGAAATTAATATTGAGATGGTCCAAAAGAAAGCATAGGATGGGTCTTTCTGCCATTGTCTATTTGATTACAAAAGAATTGCAGGATTGTTTGTGCATGTGTTTTATCTGTCTGTTTATTGTAAATACAAACGTATGCCTAACATTTTTAGCAGTAGCAGCAGCTCCATGCCCACTTTCGTAAACCTAGATCTCATCGTGTGGGGTCTGAACTTGAAAAAGCATGTTTCTGTGCTTCTCTAGCTTTCCTCTTCACTTTTCTAGCTTCCGTCTCCCCCTCTATTCCTGCTTGCATTCTTGCCCCTCTTTCTTCTTTTCTTTTGCCCCATCATTTTATCTCTCCTTTCTGTATTGCCTCTGTATTTCCTCTCTTTCTTTATTCACCTTTCCCTGAACTAAGCCTCTGGGAAGTTTTCCAGGAATTTGCTTTTGTCCTCCAACTATAGGGGAGTGTAATTTGGAAACATTTTTCGTGAAACCAGGCAAGACCTTCCAACTAGAGTGGTCAAGTGTGGTATGTACTTTCCGTGGTTCATTAAACACTTAAAAATTTGGACTGGAGCTTGCTTTGCCTTTAATGGAATAGGGTTTTCAGGAATGTCGGCTGGTCTCTCTCTTTTACTGCTAAGTGGACTCCAACGTAACGTGACTCGTAGGCTTTGATGTCAGTGGTTCCTCCAATAAAGGGGTGATGGACAGCTTGGCACAGAGGGGATGATTTTCCCACTGACCAGGCTCACAGCGAGTCGCCTCGGTGGTAACGGGAGATTGATTGTGGTGGTGTTTTCCTTTTCTCCCAGGATGCTGCCTCCCTTGGATCTCAGAAGGGTGGAATCACCAAACATGGGTGGCTGTACAAAGGCAACATGAACACTGCCATCAGTGTGACCATGAGGGTGAGGAGGCCTGTACCCTGCTTTCCCTTCCTGTGAAACCCTTTCTGCTGTAGGCCTTGAGAACAATGCCCAAGATGAATGGGCATGCTGTTCTTCCTGACAAAAGGGACGTTGTCGGATTACTAGGATGCTTCCCCGATGGTAGCACCCCCATTGGGACAGCCCTGACCACCAGCATGAAGAAACTATCACTGGTTGGTGTGAAGGTGTATCGCTGATGTAGGCTTTCTTTGAACTGAAAAATGCTCCTTGGTACCTCACAGAACATCACTGAGGGACTATCTGTCACGCTAGACCTCAGCACTTCTGTGGAGGTGTACTGCGGCAAAGTTGAGTAAAGCAAAAATTGAGGACTGAAAAGGAACATTGTTAAATTGCAAGAGGGTTACAGAGAAAACTAAAACTAGTCTAAGAAGCTATTCAGGAGAGAAGTAGGACCAGAGAAAGATCAAGATTAAGAATAAAGAGAAAAGAAACAATAGAAGGGAGGAAGGATGAACAGGAAGGTGAAAACCAAATCAGGGGAAATGTGACTGTCATAATCCCGGGGCTGGAAAATCATTCAACATCACGAGGCAGAAAATAGTTCCTATTCTGTGTGAGCAAGAAGCCCTGGGGAGTTTAGAGAAAGTTTCCATCCTTCTGTGCTGCATTCCAAATTGGAAGTCCCTGCACTGCTTTTGGGTGGTTATGTAAAATATCAGATTCTGTGGGTGAGAAAAATGACCCATGGATGTTAAGGCAACCACCTCCGCAGAACTGAAATGCAGTGAGACTGTTAGATGTGATGGGGAGTCGTAACCTATCCAGTTACCTGGAGCGTCGGCTGGAGCAGGGTTGGTTTTGGAGAGAACTGAAACAGTTTTTATGTATGCGTGTAGTCATAAGTGGGTTGTTGATAGAGATGTGACTCTTTTCATTTGGAAAGAATAGCTGTGTGCATATTTTTCTTCCAGTCATTTAAGAGACGTTTTTTCCACCTGATTCAACTTGGCGACGGATCCTATAATTTGAATTTTTATAAAGATGAAAAGATCTCCAAAGAACCAAAAGGATCGATATTTCTGGATTCCTGTATGGGTGTGGTTCAGGTAAATATGAAAAAAGTTTTGTCATCAAGTTTTCTTATCTGCAGTAGTACTATTTGTGAATTGGCAGGTTTAAGCAAACACTTCCAAAATGCAGTACTCATGGGAGAAATATCCAACCTAAGGAAAAGCCTGTTTTTCATCATCGTAGAAGGTGGGCAGGGATAACATAGAGGGAGATGATATTGTGGCGTGGCGAGTGCTCTGGAACACAGTTCTTGTGTTTAAAACCTGCTGCGGCCACTTTTTAGCTGTGTGGCCTTGGACAGACTCCTTACCCAAAGTTTCTTCGTCTGCAAAAGTTGGATAATGATAACGTCTTTAATAGGGGAAATGAGTGGATTGGATGAGTCAACACGTGGAAATATTTGGAACAGCTCCAGCATCTCAGTGGTGACTGTCATCACTATCACTGTAGTACCAGTGGCAGTGTAATGTATCAGTAAAGAGTTGGGTTTTGAAGCAACTTGAGTTTAAATACCTGCTCTACCACTTACCAGCTGTGTAACCTTGGGGATGTTATTTAACCTCTCTGTGCCTCAGTTTCCTCATTTGTTAAGTAGGGATAATGATAGTACCAAGTATGGTTACCGAGAGGATCAGTTAATTAATACTCGTAGAGAGGTTAGAACAATGCCAGCAGATGGTAAGCATTCGGTCAATATGCGATAGTTTTGTTATCATAGTGTTGTTGCACTTGTAGAGTTATTCTTAAACATTATCTTTAATTATATATAACAAATGAATGTATTCTTATTTTTAAAAATTGGACAATGCAAATAAAGCAAAAGTCCTGACTCCCTCTCTCTGCCTCCCATCTCTCCCTTTCCCAGGGGGCTGTTACCAGTTTGGTGTGCATCCTTCTGTATCTTTTTATAGTTGTCTTTAAAAGCAGGTTGCTGGTTTCCCCTCCCATCATCTGTCCATCTGTCCATCTCTCTGTTCATCTTTCCATCCTTCCACCCACTCGCTTGCCGTTTTCCAGGAAGATTTAAGGCAGCAGCTTACAGAGATGCATAAAACATAGGACAGCATAAATTTAAAGTGGGAGTGAAAGCAGAAAGATGAACAAGGGGTTGGGATGGGGCGAGATAAAATAGAATTAAGAAAAAAAAAGCACATGTTTTGAAGGCCTAACACCTGCTACGGATAGACCACCAGGACCTGGACACAATGCACAGCATGCATAAGACAAAGAGAATCCAATTAGTCATAAGCTGCCCCAGCAATCTCAGAATGAAGATCACTCAGGCATTTCTCTGAGGGTCCTCAGACAGAGGGCTCTCTGATTAACGAACAGTCTCCCTAACAACTCCTCACAAAAGATGCAGTCATGTTAGCAGAGAATTCTCCCCTAAACATGACTCCATGGTGGCTGATCACATCAGCCTGAAGCTCGATTCTGGAAGGAGGCTGTTTTGTGGGCCCAGTATGGCTAAAGTCAGGGGCACAGCTGTCTGGAGTGACCACAGGTATTCTCGTTTATGTATTTACTGTTTACCTAAAATTAAAGTGTGTTTTTACCAAGGAATACATTCCTTGGTATTCCAGCAGTGCTGAAGGTTAGTGGGGAAAATGCCTCACCCCTGCATCACCCCTACCCAGGTGCTCCCTGCTCCCCTGAAACAATCATTTTCAACTTCTTTCACTATTCCTTTTGGAGTTTGCCTTCATATTTCTGGATCATGCATGTTCATGGCTGTTTCTTCATTCATCAGTTTTGGACATTGGATGACTTCCTATGCTGGTAGATAGGATTTTAGCTCCTGGTACCCTCCTTCCTCTTCTAATCTGGACACATCACTTTCTCTGCCCTACATAGCTGCCATCCTGGAGATTCCCTCTGCCCTCCTCCCTGTGTCGGATTCCCTGGTTCCAGGATCCCATATCTTCCTCTTCTTGTTGTACTTTCTTGTTTTAGAGGAGCACATCCTCCAGTAACTTCCTGAGAAATTGTGTGTATGATATTAATTTTTTGAGCATTAGGGTATCTGTGAATATCTTTATTTTTGCATTCACACTCATAGTTTGGCCAGTTAGAAAATCCAAAGTGAAATCATTTTGCCTTGGAATTTCAGAGGCGTTCTATGACCTTCTAGGTGCTAGTGTCATTTGGAAGAGTCTGATGTTGTTCTTAGTGATCATCTCTTTATCTCTAGTGTTCTGAAATTTAGACTGTTGTGTCTTGATTTTGATTTTTTTGGTAAACTTTTTTTGTTAAGGCTTGACTTATAATAGAAAATATACACATAATGGATGTGTGGCTCAGTGAGTTTCTGCCAAGTTTGGCTGTCTTTTATCTTTTGTGCTCTTTTATCTTTACCTCATTCTGGAGACTTTGTCCTGCACACTCTGGTCCCCTTGGTTTTCCCATCTCTGGTCAGTCTCTTAACTCAGCAAGACGGCAGGACTCTGTTTGGGTTCCCCTTCCTGTGCCACGATCCAGATACTGACTCCAGGCAGAAGGCTGAGGTGGTGTGGGGCTCACTTTGTTTATTTCCCTTTTATCAGGGGTCACAGGCCTGCACTGCCTGTGGCGCCTTATCTGTTTTGTTCGGTTTTATAGTAATGGTGGCAGGAAAGTAAGTCCAGGTCCTGTTACTTCATCGTGGCCAGAGGTGGAAGTTAGGGGTCTGGAATGAGATGTCTGCAGGGGTCAGGCAGGTGGATGAG